TGTTTCTTTCGAGGCGCCCCTGGGCTTGCAAGACGGCCACCCACCGAGATGATCGAATACTGCCTCAAGACGCACCCAGCAGCCCCTGCGAAGCGCTCAACAGCTCCCAAAAGCCTTCAAGTGGCCACAAGACAACCACCATACGCGCTCCGGGTCGCCATCCAGAAGCCAGACACGTTGACTCCCCTTGGGTTTTTGTTTCAATTGTTTTCGGTGTCTGCGCTCGTCCGTCTACTTACGGTCGTCGACATCCCGAAAGGGCCCACTGAGATCTCCAAGGGAGCCCCTAGACCGCCGAAAGAGAAAGCCCAGCTGGCACAAGAGGGTACCGAGGACACCAGACGGCCTGACGACCTCCTACTTAGACAGCCCAAGACGGACCCAAGAGGCCCCCAGACAGACAAGAGGGCCCGAAGACGGCCCAAGACAGCCCCAAGACGGCCAAAGGCAGGCCAAGCGGACCCCCCACGGAGGCCAAAACCAGCCCCAAGACGGTGGCCAAATAGGCTCCAAGAGAAAACCTTACTCTGCAGAGGAGGCGGAGGCGGAGACGGAGGCGGAGGAGGAGCGAGGTGTCACATAGATGACTGCTGGGCGGCGCTCCCGGGGTCGCCACACAGAGTGCTCCGCTGGCACAGTGGCGGATAAGCGGTAGCCCGCGATCTCTCTGCTCTCTGTACCCGTGGTGTCTGCATAGGCGGCGGGGGGCGACTCCCCGACGGGAGTCAACCTCGCCTCGTCGCCGCGCCGCGACGGGGGGTCGGAGCGCCTTCGGCGCGCTGTGGCTGCCCGCGACGAGGGTCGATGTGGGGCTGTCGGCGGGGGTGACGCCCCCCCCGACGCTTATCAAGAAACTCGGAGTATGTTCTGCACCTTCTACTTTGGAATCACTGGAACCCAACCGCACGCCAGACTCGGCAGACACAATCTATCAACATCTGGAACCCCGAACCAGGAAATAGGGAACTGGGTAACCTGACCGCCCACCGAAATCGGTCCCACGCTTTACCAAACTCGAACAATTTCGCGAGGACCCCTCCCGAGCAAAGGCTGATCAAGGAACGGTGCAAACCGATCCTGGCCCGGCCCGTCCTGGGCCCAGGAACGGCCTGAACAGGAATCGGCGACTCCGACGGGTGTGGTTTGCAGAGTGTCCGGCTTGCAACCCGCGCCCTGGGGGCAGGCGAGGAACTCGACAGAGTTCCCCGCCGCGCCCCGACGAGGGCACATCAAACCTTCGGCGCGACGTGGTGCTCCCCACGCTCCAGGAAAGCAGATGACAAGCCACACCCCGGCGTAACCGCACCCGTGGTAGTCGCCGCAGGATCGGCGCGGGCGCACTGCCGTTCCCCACCCTCGCCCACCCGCCCGCTCGCTGCTGTTCTGGTGGGCAGACCCCGCGTCTGGCGACCAAGAGCGCGTGGCGTGGGGTGCGCCCTGGGACTGGTGCCCAGGAACCGCCGCGGGCGTGCTCGCCGATCCGACCAGCCGTGCCGCGGTCGACGGCGCATTAGCGCCAAGAGCGGGGGGCGGCAGCCCTTTCCCAAGCCAATTGGGCCCCGCGCCCAGCTTCGGTGGCAACTCATGGGATCCTCCCATAACATCTCGTCGGCCCGCGCGAACCGACGCCGCTCGACTCTAAGTCGACACTGACCTACGCTAAATCGGCGCTACAGCCAACCCGTATGATAAGCACGCATGATAAGGATGCAAGGGCATTGGAAGGCCATGTCGACACCTTTCGAACGAGGCGCGGCCAACGAAGGCGGCCAAGGATGGGCCGAATGGCAAGGATGCAAGGGTAACCTTGGGGAGTTGCTCATCCTCACTGTGCGGGTTGACTGTAACATCTTGTTGCCCCTTGCGAATCGACGCCAATCGACGCTAGTCCAAGTTTGAAACCGGTGCTAACCCATCGACCACCAGAGGCTAATCGACGCCAGAGAACTCCAAGGACAGAGTTACGAGGGTACACATGGCAGGGCTGGACCTCAACGTTGTTGTTCGTTGTTTTCATGTTGTTTTTCGGTTTGCTCTACCTCTGTTCCTGTACCTCCCTGCCAAAACAAAAAACACAACACAGCCGAAGTTTAGCAATACAGCGTTTGGGCCCAGCCCTGACACGAGGCTCCCATGACTTGCTACCCAACCCAGCCGCTGCAGGAAGGCCGCACGGCCGCGCCGCGGCCAGCAGTGCACGGGCGCGAACTGCGCAGGCGGCGGCCCCTTCCAGACCCCGCGCGGCCACTGGCGGCGAACGAGGGGAGCCACGGTCGAGGGAGCGGCCTTCTGAGAGGGCGGGGAGGCTTCTCCGAGGGAGGGGGGCGCCTGAGAAGCGGGCGGGGGGGGGGCTTCTAAAGCACCACACAGTCGAGGCATTACCAGAAGGAACGACACTGAATGAGGAACGAAGCCCCTGCACGGGCACCGAGAGCGCCTGGGTGAAAGGGGAGGGCTGGAGAAGCAGCCACGGAATGACCTCGGGAACAGCGAGCCCCTCCCGAAGCCAAAGCAGTCCTTCTTTCAGCGTCTCGACTGCATGCCCCCCCCCCGCACATGTCCGGAGGCGCAGGGGCCTTCCCAGAAGGCCGCCATCTGACTCTGCCCCCCTCTGCGCGCCGCCCTGCCAACGAACACGGTCCTCCTCTTCCTCCTCTTCCTCCTCCTCCTCCTCCCGTGCCTCCCGCCCCCCCTTTCCGCATCCCCGTCCTTTCCGTCTTCCTCTCCGTCCTCCGTCCTCCCCCTTCCCCCGTCTTCCCCGCCCGTCCTCCACGCCGTTCTCCTTCTTCCCCCTCCCCCCTCCTCCCTCACTCCTCCTCGCCTCGTCCCCCTCCAGAGGTTGTATTTCCAGGCCTGCCCTGCCAACGAACACGGGGCGATCCCGAGAGGCACCCGCAAAGAAATCCCCAGGGGCCACGAGCAAAGCTCGGCGTCGGCGCTGGGATGAAAGTGCGACTAGCTGCACTATCCCTCTCGAGGTGAAGGCCCATGACGGCAGAAGAGCCACGGCATGACACACCGCTTGGAGTACCCTGTGGAAGTGTCTGCTATCTCAGGGCACGCGCTGGAAAGACAACTTCTCCGTCATCAGGGGGGATGCTCCAACCATGCGACGCCGCCTTGAGCGGGTGCAGCGATCTACGACGGGGTCCACCGTCGTTGGCAGAGGCCGCCACACGCAAACAGATAAAATGCGAAACTAACTGGGTGCGAGAACGTAGGGATCGAAGGACTTCGGAACAAGAGGATACGCACGGGGGGAAGCGAACACAAGGGAGAGGCGATGGGGATGAGAGGACGAATCAAAGGACGAGGAGCGGGCCGAGGATGAGGATGAGAGGAAGAATGGGCACTGGCCGTAGGAAGAGGGCAGGCAGGATCACACGCCGGATGACAATATTTGGCACCCTGACCTTACGAGGACGAGACGGAGGAGGCGGAGGAGGGCGCGGACCAGAAACAAAAGCGGGGGAGGATGAGGGAGAGGCTGGGGGAGAGGGGGAGGAGAAGACGGGAGAAAAATCACACAGTACTCGCAGACACCGGGAGCGGGCACACACCGCGAGCTCTCTTGACCCACTCTGGGCGCTATGCGATGCACCGTGGCGTCCGAGGTGTCTCCTGCTTGCTGCGGCATTGCCAGACCTGATACCTGGTTACAGATGAGCAGAGGACCACGGATGCAAAGTTAGGCTACCAGACCCTTGGACGTCCATGTTCACAGCAGATGCAGCGGCGGCATCATGCCCAAACATGGGTCCGAACAGAGAAGAATGCGCGGGAACCCATGATGAAACACTGGACCCCCTCTGCTGCGTTTGACTGCATGGCCGAAGTCATTTGCTGCCGGCTATCTGCAGTCCCAGCCCGCTTTCCTCCTCTCCCCCCCCTTCTCCTGTGGATCCTCTGCTGCGGCTGGCTGCAATGCTGTCAAGGTGGTCGAGGGAAACCGAAGGCGAGACCGCTGAGGCCTGCATGCAATTGTCGGAAAACGATGCGCTTGGTGCGCGGCGTGGAAACAACAAATTATACCACGGAAGACGGGTGATACCAGCTAGTCTATATTGTGCCCTTATGAATACGTCGCCAGCAACGAACGGTGGACAATCACAGTGCGCGTGCAGTCAAAAACCACCATCAAGACACAAAGCAGCGTACGAGAAGGCAAGACCCATCAGAAGCGACGGGGCAACAAACACCGAACAACTAGAGTGGATGGGTGCAGGACGGAGGCAGGGACGCAGATGGGACACCGTGACGATGAAGCGCCCCCATGCCAAGGTTCCGACTGCACCCACCCTGCGAGTTGCCCCCCGTAGAAAGAAGCAGCAACTGCATCAGCATACGCTTTCGGAGATGCGAGCGGATTTCTTGGATCGGCGCTGGACTCCTCTCCCTGGCACGCGGAGCACGCCAGGGCGGCGCTCAAGGCGCCGCCGGGGTGGCCCAACGTCGATCCAAGAAATCCGCGCGGAACTCTGAAAGTTCATGCTGATGCATTATTCCCAGACATGCGATGTCCGGATTTTTGTCAACGCGGGGTCCTCAGAGATCCCGACCCTTTCACCAGGGCCGGTCTCTCATCGCGTTTGACGGTCACGTGCCTGGCGAGGGCCCACGGAGGCTGAAAACTGCTGCACACCTCCCGTCGCATTTGTTTGTTTTGTACGACGCGAGTTTGCACGCAATGAATGGAGGCGACGGACAGTATGGGTACGATGCTCAACAGTAATGCCTGCGCATGTGGATCGAGTAGCTGTCCTCCGGAACCCTTCAGATCTTGTCATTTTGACAGCAGTTCTTGCCCATTTGGACCACCATCGCTGTCAAATGGGCAAGAACTCCTGTAATAATGACAAGAGCTGTTGTCCGATGGGCCCCGAGTGATAGCAAATCTTACTCTAGATGAACAAGCACTGCTGTTGGGCGCACAGAGCGAACATGTCTGGGTTTGCTCTTCTTCGACCCCAGGCCAACGCCCTTCCGGACGACAGGCCCCGCTAGAACGGGAACACGAAGCAGCGCCCGCAGGTGCCCAGCGCGCCCTCTGCGTCGCGGCTGCTCCTGGGGGGGGAGGGGCCCTCAAATTGAGCAGGGATCGACCGTCCTGGTATTCTCCCACCACCCTCTTCGAAATAAGCCGCAAATTGTTTTTCACAAACCCTCGCACCCGAATTCCAATGTTAATAAACGCGAGCAACGCGGCCCGCGGGGTCCGAACCCAAAACTCCAGTCGCCAGCCTCGGCGTGAACATTGAAATTGGGGGATCCGCGGGCGCCGCCACGTCGCGGGAACAAAACAACTTGCGTTTGACTTCGAGGGGGGATGTGTAGGCCTACCACGATCTGTTCTTAGAATACAACGAGGTTCGAATAACAAGCGCAAGGTTCTTATACTATAAGGCAGATCGAGTAAAACAAGACCGTCCCAGCCAGAATGTTCTAAGAGCAGTTCGTGCTACACAGCAAACACATTATTAGAGCTCTTGGTGGGCCCATAAGCAGATCAAAACGCTTCGCCACTGCTGCAAAACTACAAATCCCACTGCTCCCCGGACCTCTCCCGGGGCGCGTCCTGACAAGCATCGCGAGGCGAATCCGGCTCTGGCGAAGAGGGCCTCCTTGCAAGCACCCAAAAAAGGAAAATCGAGGCCCGGGGTAGCGGCATCAGAATTGTGAAGGTATCGGCGTCGGATAAGGAACCGCTGGATCAAGAATCCACGGCCTGGAAGCATGTGGAACTCCATCGTTAATGGATCGGCAATACATATTACTGCCGCACTCGTCAGCAAGCAACAACCTGTGAACTGGTTGGGGCTCAGACTTCGGAAAAATCGGCTGGGGCTCAAGGGATGTCTGCAACCAAACCCAGCGGGGTGTCCGATACCCTAGCGCCGATCGGACCCGCAGGACGAGGTTTCGCCAGCGGCCGCAGAATCAGACAATTAGGAAGCCCCCCCGGTTCTGAAGCCTCCTGGGCACACTCATCATAATCAACGGCCCCACCGTACCCAGACATCCTTCGATACGATTTTTCAATCTGCGGCCCCAGAAGTCGGGACCCCTTCCCTGTGGGTGGTTTTTCGTCCCCGATCCATTTTTGATAGTCCCCGTGCCCGCTAACGGACCCTGGACGCCGAAATCGATGAAAAACCGCCGGATTGAACAAATCATACGCTCGAGACGCGGGTCCCCGACCTCTCGACCACTTCCCTGGGAACGGTTTCTCATCCCGAACCGTCTTTTGACGGTCCCGAGGCCCAGTGAGGGCCCCGAGAAGGCTGAAAATTAATTATGAGATCGGACGTTGCGAACAAAAGTTCAATATCGGGAAAGTTTCGCCCGGAGACCCAAATCCCATCATTCTGCGTCGTTTTTAAAACTGGATCGATCTGTGAGGATCCCGACGCCCGAAAACGAGCGGAAACGACCGGCTCAAAATAATTGCAACGCCAGGGTCTCGAGGGAAAAACCTCCTTCCCGATTTCCTTCGAGACGCCAGATGCCTGGGAACCGCTCCCCCCAAGATGGCGGCGCGCAGAGGGGGGTAGGGGAAGGGGGGAAGTCTTCTTAGAAGGAGGCTGCTTCTCTGAAGGCGCGGGCCTTACATCTCCAGACAAGGCCCGCGCCTTCTAAGAAGCAGGGGCGCTTCGAAGAAGCCTTCCCCCCTCCTCCTATACCTGAGCGTTTTCTTAAAGTGGAGGGCTCAGGGTGAAATCCATATGGGCTTTTGCATCACGGCAATCAATCCGTCTTGTGATCCACCTTTTGCAGATTGAAGCCTCGAAAATCCATCGAAACGGCATTACAGATTTCACCCTCTGCCCTCCACCCAACGAAAATACTCGGTGTACCCGGCGGAGACTCAACAGAGGGCACAAAACAAGCATTCAGTCCCTGAGTTCAGAAAAGGAGCAAGTCGTGCGCAAGTGGGGGAAGTCCTCCTCCTCCTCCTCCTCCTCGAGCCTCGAGCATCGAGCCTCGTCCCCTCCTCCTCCTCCTCTTCCTCCTCTTCTTTCTCCTCTTCCTCCTCCTCCTCCTCCTCCTTCTCCTCCTTCTCCTCTTCCTCCTCCTCTTGCTCCTCCTCCTCCTCCTCCTCCTCCCTCCTCCTCCCCCTCTGCGCGTGGCTGACCAAGGCCTCCGGCTGCGCCCGCGCCCGTGCGCCGCCGGCGCGGCGCGGCCCGCAGCGCCCTCGGGAGAGCGGGCGCCGCCCGCTGCCTGCACGCTGGGCTCGCCAGCGGCCCGGGCGCCGGCGGGCCCCGCCCAGGCGACCGGCGCCGGCGGCCCATCCTGTCTGAAGGGGCCCAGGGACACACAAGTAAGAGAGAAATCCCAGGATCCCCTCTGAATGCATATGTGTGTACATATATATATATATATATATATATATATATATGTGTATGTCGATGTATGTATGTACATGTACATGTCTATGGATGCAAATGTACATATACATATATATATATATATATATATATATGTGTGTGTGTATCGAAATCTCCGCCAGATCCCCTGTGGGGCCACCAGGCTGTAGGGCGAAGTTGCTGCTCCCTGCGCCAGTTGCAGTTTCAAGTCTCCAATGTTATAGTCCTGCTTGTTGCTTCCTACTGTAAACTGTTAAAGTGCGCGCGAGGGGGCAGCACAAACCAACAGTGTACGACGCCCGAATCGCGTTGCCTGAATTCCTGGGGGGGCGTGGGACATATAAAGATATGGGAGATTCGCGCCCCCGAGGCCATAATCACTTTTAAATTATGCAATGTTCAATCCCCGAGGCAACAAACCCTGGTAAATTATACAAGATTGGCGTCCCCGAGGCCAAAAACCCTTGCAAATTAAGCCATGTTCGAATTGCCGAGGACAAGAATGCTCCAAGGCGCCCGAAGATGGTTTCAAGACGGCCCAAGAGGGCCCCAAGAGCGCTTCAACCTCCCGAGAGACCAAAATCGCTGATTTTACAACGGTTTTTGAAGGATTTTGGCCTTCTCGCATTTTCGGCTGTCCACCGCTCTAAACAGCTCAAAAAGCTCCCAAGACCGCCGCAAGACAGCCCAAAAGGCCTCCAAGAGGATCCCAAGACGGCCCAAGAGGGTTCCAAAATTGCCCGAAAAGCACTCAAGACGGCCCAAAGGGGCCCCGAGACGGGGACCACGAACCGTCAATTCTACATGTGCGCCCCGAGAAGCCCCCAGTAGGCCCAAGAGACCGCCAAGAGGTCCCAAGAGGCCCCAAGAGGCGCCCAAGACGCGCCCAAGAGGCCTCGAAGATGCCCAAAAGATACCCAGGAGGCCCCAAGAGGCCCCCAAGATGCGCCCAAACCGCCTCCAAGAGGCCCCCGAGCGGCTCCCCACGACACCCAACACATTTACAAGAGGCCTCAGACCCACAACCCAGGCACGGTGGCGGGATGCGCCGAAGGCCACTAGGACGACGACAACGTGTCGACATGCGCTGATGATTCCTATCCGCCCCCGCATGGTGTTCCCATATGCGCCAAGGTAGCGCCGAGACGCACCGACGAGACTTTGATGTATCACATCAGGATAAAGAAGGGACGGCGGCAAAGGCGAAATTCTTACGGAACCATCTATATATAGAGAGAGAGATACTTGAGCACATTTCGGTATTCATATGTATAGATGTATACATAGGTATATACATGCGTGCAGGTATGTATGGGTGTATGTATGCATGCATGTTTGAATGTATGTATGTATGGATGCATGTACGTATGCACATACGCATGCATGCAATTATGAATGTATGTACGTACGTATGTATGCATGCATGTATGTGTAACTGTGTATAGATGTACGTATGTAGAGATGTATGTGTGCATGCATGAATGCATACCTGCATGTATGTACATATGTATGTATGTATGTACGGGTGGATGTACGAACGTATGCGTGTGAGCATGCACGTATATATACACACTATACATACACACATGCAAACAAACAAACAAACAAGCAAACATACATACATACATACATTCACACACAGACATACATACACACACATACAAACATACATACACACATACATACATACATGCATACATACATACATACACACATACATACACATACATACATACATACATACAGACAATCATACAAACATACATACACACATGCATACATGCATGCATGCATACATACATACACACGCATACATACACATAACTGTGTACATACAACATCCAATACGCGCTCCCCAAAGCTAATGGAAGTTCGTTTTACCCTCCCGCGTCCCATATGTTCCACATGTTAAAGGGGACTGGGCAATGATGTGTGCCTGTGTAAATGTTTCCTTCCTGACGGTTGGCAAGGGCTCGGGGTGGGAGATTGACTCCATGTTGATTCACCTCAGACGTGTGTTTTCTTCGTCGTGACTGCGGAGCATATACATAGAGTACTGGTGCAGACCAACGAACACTCCATCGATGTACTCGGTCGCAAAGCCGACGGAAGACGACAATTTTGGGGCACATCCGTGTTGTCGTCGACCTCCTGTTTGGAGGGTCAGTGAGAGACTGTTTTTCGTTAGACTTTAACAAGTCCGCTTGCAAGGAAGGGCGAGAAGGGTGGGGCGAAGTCCGAAGGAACATCTGAACTTGCACGCCTCTTTGAGAGGGCGGCAAGGGAGGAGGGGCGCGCCACGCACGTAAGTTGCCAACGTGGAAAGAAAACTGGTCGGACAAGAATGGCAAACGTAGTTTTTTCCGTGTTGGCCTCGCAGAGGGGGGAAACATGAAATATGGTTGCGACGACAACGCGGCGGATGACGAAGATGACGGCGTCGATGACGGGGGAGGACAGCGTGGGGAGCGAGAGGACAACGAGGAGGAAGACAAGCACGAAGACGAGGAGAAACATATGGAGGACGAACACGAGAAGAAATGAAACGGAGGAGGAGGAAGACGAAGGAGAACGGTAAGGAACACAAGGAACATTACGTCGAAGGAGGAATGGGTCCTCGTCATCTTTTCGAACTGCCCTGGGGGCTGTGTGGGCCGTCAAGGCCATCTTTGGGCGCGCACTGGGGGCCTCGGTGGCTACGAGGTTGTTTTGTGTTGTCTGTGCGCGTCTTGGGATTATGCGGGGGGTCTCTCAACTCCACTGGGCCCTCGGACTGGCTCCTGGGGCGCTCTTCGAACCTCTTGGGGCCCTCTTTGTGTCCTGCGGGGAGACTTTGGGGCATGTGGGGACCCCCAGGAGCGAGTCTCAACGAAATCGCTGGCGGTTCATTGCGTTGGTCTGCCATGCTCCTGCGAAGCTGAAACCGAAGCTGTGGGGGCCGAAATCCAGAGATAATAAAAAAAAAAAAAAGGCAAGCCGCCTTGGGCCCCGCCCCAGGGCCGCCAAGGCCCCACCCACCCAGGAGGCCCAGCGGGGAACGGGCCAGAGCCTCGGAGCCCCACAGGGCCACAAGCCTGGGGGGCGGAAGGAGCGCGCCAACGCCTCGCAAGACCTGTCGGTGCTGCGGAGGCCCGCTGGAAGTGCTGTCGCCTCGACAGGCAGGCAACGCGAAGTCCTCGCACGGGCGGCCAACCGCCGCCGCGCGCTCTCCACTCCTGAACAGACGGCTCAAAGGGACCCGCGAGGCGCCTCCGCTTGCGCCCCTCCGCCGCGGCCAGGCCGTCCTCGTCCAGGCCGAACGCCTGCGTGGCCTGCAAGCGGCTGATGGCGGCCTCGGCCGCCCCGCTGTGCGCCGCGGCCGCCGCTGGGCGGCGCGCAGGGGCGGCGGCCGCCCGCGGCCCGCCCGCTGGCGACGAGCTCGACGCGCAGGAGGTGTCCGCCCCCCCCCCCCCCCCGCCCCTTCGCGGCCAGCGGGCCCGGCGGCCGCTGCGGGCGCCGCCCCCTTGCGCAGCGCGCCGAACCAGGCCGGGATGTCACCGTCACCCCTCAGCTCGCTGGTGGCGTCCATCTGGCGCAGGGTCCTGACGGCCTTCTGACCGCCTGGCTGGGCGCTGCCCGCGATCTCAAAGGCTGAACTGGCCTCGACCGCCCTTGCCCTTGGGCCCTGCGGGTGGGCAACCCAGGCACTCTGCGCGCAGCTTGGGCCCTCTGCCCCCGTCAATGTCCGCGCAGGCACCGCAGCGGCTGCAGCTGATCAAGCGCCCCGCGGGCCCCTCGTCCGCGCCGTCGGCCAAAGCGCCGCGCGCGCAGTGGCCCAGCGTGGCGAGCGGCCCCGCGCCAATGCCGAGGCCCGCCGCTGCTGACGCCATGGGGCGCTCGCGCCTGGGTGCCGAGCCCGAGGCCGCCTCAGCAGGGTGGAGACTCGGGCCGTCGTTGTGCGTCACCACAGGCCGCCTCCACTCCTGCCCCCCAGGCAGGCCCTGCGCGTCGCGTAGGCCGCCCTGTTGCAAAAGGATGGACACCTGGGCTATCCACCGAGCCAGCTCCGCCACGATCAGCGCGAAAGCCTTGCAGTGCACCAGCACCTCCTGCGGGGCGGGGCGCAGCGAGGCCCCGAGCCTGGCGCAAGTGTCCGCAGGCCCGTTCCCGCGCCACTCCAGCTCAGAGACGCGACCCTCCTGCACTTACGCCGGCGTCAAATGGGCCGGAACCTTGCGAACCTCGTAGTCCTCGGGCCCGAAGACAGCGAAGAACCTGCTCCAAAAGGTGGGCGCCAGGTCGGCCAATGCCACTGGCGCACTGGCGCCCTCGCCTCAAGCAAGAGACTGTGGAGGCGCAATCGACGCGCAGAATGCGCCGCCCTGGCCACGCGACCTCGGTCAGCATCGAGCAAGCGAAGCCCTTGGCATTATTGGCCGTCTGCTGCGGTCGCAGGTCGGCCCTCGCGGCGCCGTAGCAGGCAGCCTCCAAGGTGCCGGTCTCGCTGACCTGACAGGTCGCCCATCCAGCTCGGCGGGTCGCCGCGCGCGTCGGCTCGAACGCGGGCCCGTCCAGAAACAAAGGTTCGCGCAGGAACCCATCGTCAGGCTTGCGAAACCAGCGGGCCACGATGCCACTGCCCAGGCCTGGGGGGCGAAGCATGGGGGCAGGCAATCAGCAGCGAGCGAAGTCCTCCGCGGCCGCCTCGCCGAACTGCCCCACACGCGGAGCGCGCCGCTTCAAACGCACCGAAAAGCTCCATCGCACCGAACAGCGCTGGGCGCTCGAACATGCGATGGAAGAGCGCGCCGTTCTCAGCGCCACAGAGGAGGCAGCGCCCGTGGCCCGCTCTTGGACCGACAGGAAGCGCTGCTGCGGCCAGTGGGCGTTCGTGAAGACCGAAATGAATGCCGCCTTCTTCCTGGAGCCCAGGGAGCCGCGGGCGCAATCAGCTCGCAGATAGCGCCCCAGACGAGAGGGTGGCGATGCCGCCCGCCCTTGGCAAGGCGGCCGGCCTCCCGCCTGTTCGCGGCCCTCCGCGCTCTTCTCTCTGCCTCGACCATGAGGTCCTTGGGTCCGAGAGAGGTTAAGCCCAGGACGTCCCCGAAGTCCGTGACTAGGTCCGCCCCGAGGGCGTCGATGACGAACCAGTCGAAGGTGGTCTCCTGCTACTCTGCAACACATGTCGGGCCCCCAAGGCCCGATGGCCACTCCGCAGTGACATTCTGGTCAGCTGGGCTCCTGCAAGGTCGCTGGCTCCATGTTGAAGTCCGCTTGCAGGAGCCGCGGCGCGCGCCCAGCTGCCATGGCGAGCTGCGCCGCCGCTCGCAGCAGGTCGAGGTTGCCTGCCCTCGGCCCGATGGTGCGCTCGAAGTAGGCCGAGGCGACCACGAGCTCCATGCCCGACGGCATCATCACTTCCACTCCCAGCAGTCGGTGAGAAACGCCTGCGGGCACGGCCCATGGCACCTCCCTCGCTGCCGGGTCCTCGCGCACCAGGGAAGACACCCCGCCCGAGGTGCAGCTGGCCCGTGGCATGCATTGGCGGCGCGGTGGAAGGCAGCGCGCCCGTGGGGGCCTAGCGCTCCAGCGGTGCCAGACGCAGAAGCCATCTTGCTCGGCGCCGCGAGCCCTGTCTCCTGGAGGGTCACGGCGTGCGGCCGGGCACCCACCGGGCGGGCGTAGCCCTCCAGTACCTCCAAGGAGCGTCGCCATCCGCTGCCGTTGCAGCCCAGCGCGGCGAGGCCGCTGGCGAGGGCCTCGGCGAAAACGGCCGTCGGCGCCTGCGCCGTCGGGTCGAGCTCTCGCACCCTGCTCCCGATGGTGGCGTCAGCCGCACCACTCGCTGCACTCCTCCTGCCTGCTGACCTGGCCCGCCCTGCTGCGCCCCCCCGCCGCCGCCGAAGGCGCGTGCTGCGACGACGCGGGGCTGAATCCCACCGCGCCTGCCCTCTTCCTGGCCGCCAGGTGGCCGCGGCTACGTCCCTGGCCGCGCCGGCGGGCTCATGCCGGGCTGCGCGCCGCGCCTCCTCGGTGCCGTCAGCTCGCGAGGGGGCCGCGCATGGCCGTCCCCTGATAGGCTGTCGGCCAGGGCGCGCTCGCCTCGCGGGCCCGAGCGTCCTCGGGGCGGGCCCACCTGGCCGCAACCCCATCGGCCCTGTGAGGTGGCCCGCATGGCCGACCCTCCTCAGGCCGCGGCTGAAGAGAAAAACGCTGCTGCCTCGCGGGTCTGGCTGGCCTCGGGGTTGGCCCACCTGGCCCGGGCCCTGCAGCCCGGCGGGGTGGCCCGCCAGGCCAAACCCCGCCGTGCCCTCCCAGTCGGCCAGGGCGCCGTCGCTTCGCGGGCCCGACCGGCCGAGGGGCAGGCCCACCTGGCCGCCGCCCTTCGGCCCTGGGAGGGAGCACTCGTGGCCGACCTCGAGGTCAAAGGCCCGGCTGCCCCGCCGCCGCGGCCCCTGCAGCGCGGCCGCCGCCGCGCTCGCCTGCAGGGGCAGGCGCGCGCAGGGGCCCGCTCTGCGTACGACGCAAGGCGCCCGGCCGCCTCTGAGACACGCGGCCACGGGCCCGTGGCTACCCCGAACCGCTCACACTGGCCGCGCATGGCCGCAGGCTGGGCTGGCCAGACACGTCGGATCTTGGCCTTGTCGGAGGCGGAGGCCAAGGGCGCCTCGTCGTCGCTGATGTCCAGCTCGTCGTCGACGGGGCAGCTCTCAGCCCAGGGCTCTCGCGGCGGCGCGATGGCCAGAGCGAGCTGCGCTGCCACAGCCGACATCTGCTTCTCGATCTCGGACCACGCGCGCTCGAAGTTGCCGGCGCGACGCGCCGCCTGCAGACCGCGGAGCTGCGCGAGGAAACCAGGCGCATGGCTGCGCTCAGCGGGCCCCGCCGCCTGGCGCAGCCCTTCGGCCTCCGCAGATGCCTGGATCTCGGCCTTCAAGCGGCGGATGCCTCCGCAGATGCCTGGATCTCGGCCTTCAAGCGGCGGATGACCCCCTCCTCTTCCTCCTCCTCCTGCTCCCCCTCCTCCTCCTCCTCCTCCTCCTCCTCCTCCTCCTCCTCCTCTCTCTTCCTCCTCCTCTCCCCCTCCTCCTCCTCCTCCTTCTCCTCCTCCTCTCTCTCCTCCTCCTCCACCTTCTCCTCCCCCCCCCCCTCCTTCCTCCTCCTCCTCCTCCTCCTCCTCCTCCTCCTCCTGCCTCCTCCTCCTCCTCCTCCTCCTCCTCCTCCTCCTCTTCCAGCTCGGCGCCGAGGGCGCCGAGCTGCTCGGCGAGCTCCTCGCGCGCCTTTCGCTCGGCCTCAGGGCCTTGCGGGCCCTGCCAAGGCGCTTTCTCTGCCTTGCCCGCTGCGCTGGCCCCCCTGCGCCTGCGCATGCGCGCGGAGTGCGGCTGCTCGGCAGCCTTGGCCACCTCCGCGGCAGCTCGGGCCTCCTCCAGCTCGCCTCGCCTGCGGGCCAGCTGGGCCTCGATCTCCGCGACGAAGCTGCCGGGCACTCCCAGCGGGGAATGATCGCGCAGGTCCTCGAGGCGCGCGATAGAGCCCAGGATGCCCCGGACCTCGCGGGCTGGCCCGCTGTGGCCGCTATCAGGGCCCTTGGCCCCGCGCTTGGCCGCCCCGACAGAGCTGCGGCCGCTGTTCCCTGAGGCCGCGCGCGCAAACCTCTGCGCCTTGCGCTGGGCCTGGCGCCCGCGGGGCCGCGCGACCCAGCCGTCTCCGTCGGCGGCGCCCTCTGCCCCGGGCCCATCCTTGGCCGCTGGCACTGGCGACCGCGAGCGCGCCCTGACCCGCGGGGGGGGGGGGGCGTCGCGCCGCAGCCGCAGCACTTGCTCTTCGACGCCCGGGCCCAGGTCCGACACGAGCTCGAGCTGCGCCGCAAGTTGCTCCGACTCAGCGGCGCAGGCGGCGCTCCAGGGGGGCGCGCCGTGGCCGCGCCTCCAGGCGAAGACCAGGCGCGCCCCGCGCTCGGCGAACCTTTGGGCCCCGGCAGTGCGCAGCTCGACTGGGGTTGCAAGAAACGGATGCTTTCGCTCTCTGTCCGATGAGGCAGACACATATTGCGCCAAAATGGCTGCGGGTGCCATGCTCCCGTGGTCTACCATGCTCCTGTGGTCAGCCGTGCTGGTCTGCCTTGCTGCTGCGGTCCCTCGTGCCCTTCTGCCGTGCTCCTGTGGTCTGCCGCGCTGGTCTGCCGGGCTGCGGTGGTCTGCCAGACTCGACTGGCATGATGCTGTAGGCTCCCGCGCGAAGCTGCCATGCTGCTGTGGTCCGCCGTGCCTGTCTGCTACTCTCCGGTGGTCAACCGTGCTGGCCTGCCATGCTCCTGCAATATGCCGTGCTCTTGTGGTCTGCGATGCTCCTGTGGTCTGCCGTGCCCCTATGGTATGCCGCGCTGCTGTAATATGCTGTGCTGGTCTGCCCTGTTCGCGGTCTCTGCTGATATGCCGCGCTCGTGTGGTCTGCCATGCTTGTCCGACGCGCTGAAATGGTTTCCCGTGCTGGTCTCCCGTACTCCTGTGGTGCTGGTATAGCATGCTCCTATGGTCTGCAATTCTGCCATGATCAACCGTGCTGGTTTGCCATGTTCCCGTGGTTTGCCGTGCGGGCTTGCGATATTTATGTTGTCTGCCGTTTTGGTCTGCCGTGCCGGTGTCGTCTGCTCTGCCGTGCTGGTCTGCCATGCTCCGGCGGTTTACCGTGCTGGTCTGCCGTGCTGACCAGGCCTACCACGCTGGTCTGCCACACTGTTGATGTCTCCCGTGCAAATCAGCCGCATTCCTGCAGTCTGCCGCACTGGACTGCCATGTTCCCATGGTGTGCCCTGCGGGTGCGCCGTGCTGCAATAATATGCCGTGCTGGTCTGCCGTGCCCGAGCTGGTCTGCCGTGCTGCTGCGGTGTGCCGTGCTGGTCTGCCGTGCCGAAAAGGTATGCCATAATGGTTTCCTGTGCACCTGTGGACCGCCGTGCATATTTGCTATGCTTATTCTTGCGGTCTGCCAGGCTCCTGTGGTCAGCCGTGCTGGTCTGCCTTGCTGCTGCGGTCCCTCGTGCCCTTCTGCCGTGCTCCTGTGGTCTGCCGCGCTGGTCTGCCGGGCTGCGGTGGTCTGCCAGACTCGACTGGCATGATGCTGTAGGCTCCCGCGCGAAGCTGCCATGCTGCTGTGGTCCGCCGTGCCTGTCTGCTACTCTCCGGTGGTCAACCGTGCTGGCCTGCCATGCTCCTGCAATATGCCGTGCTCTTGTGGTCTGCGATGCTCCTGTGGTCTGCCGTGCCCCTATGGCATGCCGCGCTGCTGTAATATGCTGTGCTGGTCTGCCCTGTTCGCGGTCTCTGCTGATATGCCGCGCTCGTGTGGTCTGCCATGCTTGTCCGACGCGCTGAAATGGTTTCCCGTGCTGGTCTCCCGTACTCCTGTGGTGCTGGTATAGCATGCTCCTATGGTCTGCAATTCTGCCATGATCAACCGTGCTGGTTTACCATGTTCCCGTGGTTTGCCGTGCGGGCTTGCGATATTTATGTTGTCTGCCGTTTTGGTCTGCCGTGCTGGTGTCGTCTGCTCTGCCGCGCTGGTCTGCCATGCTCCGGCGGTTTACCGTGCTGGTCTGCCGTGCTGACCAGGCCTGCCACGCTGGTCTGCCACACTGTTGATGTCT